TCATCGGCTCCCGGGGGGGCCCGATCCCCCGGGGCGTTGCCTTGGACCCCGGGGCCACCGCGTCCCGGCAGGACCCGGTCACCAAGGGGGACACTGGCCACGGTGAGCATCTCGCCCCTGGCAAAAAGCTACGGTGCAGACGCACCCTGAGACCCGTATGAAGATGAAGAGGCGAAGAGACAGCGCCCGGGGGGGTTCCCCATCCCACCGCTCTCTGAGCGGCACCTTCCTTCATGTCCTTGGTATGAGAAGAGTCTTTGCGTCCAGCGGCTGCGGCTGGTCCCTCGCCTGGCTCCGGGGCTGCGGCTCTGCTCCGGGATGGAGCGGACGCAGCGGCGGGGACGGGCGTCAGCAGGAGCTGGTCTGGAGGTTGGCCTCGTTGAGCAGCGAGGCGATGGAGGAGGGCCCGTAGGCGCTGTCGAACTCCTCGTCCGAGCTGAGCTGGTCCTCTTGCAGGGAGGAATCGGTGGCCGAGCGGGCGGCTTTGCGCCTGGGGATGGAGAAGAGGGGTCAGCCCTCACCCGTGGACAGGGCTGGGACCCCCCTCCGGCCCACGGACGGGGCTGGGACCCCGGCGTCCCCTACCAAGCCTCCTTCTCCAGCGCTTTGATGCGGTTCTGCAGCTGCTCGTTGAGCTCGTGCTGCTCCTCCAGGTCCCGCTGCGCCTTCTTGCGGGCACCCTCCAGCCGCTCGATCTCCTCCTCCGCCTCGTCCACTTGACGCTTCAGGGCCTTCACCCGCAGGCTCAGCTGCAAGGAGACGGAGCAATTCCCATGGGAATTCCCCGCCGGCGCGGGACGAGCACCCAAAGGTCCCTTAGGTGGGTCCCGAAGCCGCTCAGCATCTCCGAGGGTCCCGTCCACCACCCACCTGGTCCTTCTGGTCGCTGACGTGCTGCCGCTCGTCGTCGATCTGGATGGTCAGCTCCTTCACCTTCCTCTCCAGCTTGCGGTTGGAGGACAGCAGGACGTTCTTCTCCCTACGACGAAGCAACGCGTCGTGGGCAAGCCGGGCCGGCACCCGGCGAGGCCAAAAGCACCCCCCAAAGCGGGGGTCTCCATGGCCGGTACCTCTCCTCCGCCTGCAGCCTGTCCTGCAGCTCCTCCACCCGCGCCTCCAGCTGCCAGAGGTTGCTGCTGGGTTTCTGCAGCCCCTCCGAGCTGGCCAGGCGGCTCTTCAGCTCCTTGTTCTGCAGGGAGAGGACAAAAAAGACCCCAAAACCGTCCGCGTCGCCCCCCAGCAGGACTGCCAGCCCGGGTGGGAAAGGCTGAGAGCCTGCCTTATGTAAACCCCGAGTCAGGGCCCAGAACCTCTTTCCCAAGGAGGAGACTAACGAGCCGGGTTATATAACGGCAATTAGCCGTGCTGGCACCAGCCGGGGCACGAGGCAGGACCGGGATGTGCCGGGGACCACGGGGCGCAAGAGCCTCCGCCGGCTCCGCGACACCCATCACCCTCAGCTCCCCGGTTCCTGCTCTCAAATGCCTTCGTTGGCCAAAAAATTCCCCAACAGCAGCAGCAAAACCAGCTCCTCTCCCCGTCCTGCACAGCGGCAGCGCCCCAACATCGTCAACCAGGCAGCGGTAACGACGGCGGCTGCCCGCCGGGCCCGGGCCC